TGGACATCTTTATTCACGTCATTTATGGACCATTTCTGGATGTCAACGGACGTCCAGATTATAGTCAGTATGAATGTCTTTTCTCAACTAGTTCTGGCTGTCAGTGGACGTTTAGATAATGGCCAGATTGGACATCTTTATTCACGTCATTTATGGACTATTTCTGGATGTCAACGGACGTCCAGATTATAGTCAGTATGAACGTCTTTTCTCAACTAGTTCTGGCTGTCAGTGGACGTTTAGATTGTGGCCAGATTGGACATCTTTATTCACGTCATTTATGGACCATTTCTGGATGTCAACGGACGTCCAGATTATAGTCAGTATGAACGTCTTTTCTCACCTAGTTCTGGCTGTCAGTGGACGTTTAGATAATGGCCAGATTGGACATCTTTATTCACGTCATTTATGGACCATTTCTGGATGTCAACGGACGTCCAGATTATAGTCTGTATGAATGTCTTTTCTCAACTAGTTCTGGCTGTCAGTGGACGTTTAGATAATGGCCAGATTGGACATCTTTATTCACGTCATTTATGGACCATTTCTGGATGTCAACGGACGTCCAGATTATAGTCAGTATGAATGTCTTTTCTCAACTAGTTCTGGCTGTCAGTGGACGTTTAGATAATGGCCAGATTGGACATCTTTATTCACGTCATTTCTGGACTATTTCTGGATGTCAACGGACGTCCAGATTATAGTCAGTATGAACGTCTTTTCTCAACTAGTTCTGGCTGTCAGTGGACGTTTAGATAATGGCCAGATTGGACATCTTTATTCACGTCATTTATGGACCATTTCTGGATGTCAACGGACGTCCAGATTATAGTCAGTATGAATGTCTTTTCTCAACTAGTTCTGGCTGTCAGTGGACGTTTAGATAATGGCCAGATTGGACATCTTTATTCACGTCATTTATGGACCATTTCTGGATGTCAACGGACGTCCAGATTATAGTCAGTATGAACGTCTTTTCTCAACTAGTTCTGGCTGTCAGTGGACATTAAGATAATGGCCAGATTGGATATCTTTATTCACGTCATTTATGGACTATTTCTGGATGTCAACGGACGTCCAGATTATAGTCAGTATGAACGTCTTTTCTCAACTAGTTCTGGCTGTCAGTGGACGTTTAGATTATGGCCAGATTGGACATATTTTTTTAAGTCATTCATCGACTAATTCTGGATGTCACCGGACGTTCAGATTATAGCCAGTATGAACGTCTTTTCTCAACTAGTTCTGGCTGTCAGTGGACGTTTAGATTATAGCCAGATTGGACATAATTTCTCATTGTCATTAATCAACTAATTCTGGATGTCAATGGACGTTCAGATTATGGCCTGGACGGACGGACGTGATATCAACCTGTTTTGTATGTCCACAGACGTCGCTTGCTCAGTGGGATGTTTATGAACATTAAAGGATCAAAAGTGCATGCATTGCTAGAGGAAGAAGTCACACAGAATGTCTTGTCTTGCACTGACCTCTAGTGGTCAACATCACACACCTCTTTTTCCAGTTTTAAACCATTTAAATCAACAGGCAATGTGATCATACTCATAAAGTATTCTAGACTCTAGAGTATGCATCTGTTGGAAGTTTGTCTTTTAAATGTAACCCATTAATGCAATGTAATTAGCATGCAGTAAATGACAAACAACAGAATGAGGTTTCAACTTGATTACTGAAGCATCCAGATGCCATTTACCCCTCCAAGCATAGTGTAACACAGTTGAAAAGACATTATCTAGCCAACTGATCAAGTATCTTCAGTGTCCTAAGGGATTTCAGACATGGGAAAAAGCAGCAGGTCTAACATGCTAACGGCTAATGAGGAAGTCTGAGATTGCTAATTCACATAACACAGTTTAGATGGATTAGTCATCTTCACGTGTGTCATATGCATTATATCACAGAAGAAATAAAGTCTATCTACAGGTTTGTTTGCTGACCTTTTGGCCTGTTGACAGTTGATACTGTACAGATGGATATTTAGCATTAGCTAACCTTATAGCCAAACATTTATTTCTCATCCAAACTTTTGTCTTGTGTCATCTCTAAACCAAAAGTAACAGCTAACACAAATGAGTATACAAGCATGCCAATACTTTAACAGTGATTATTTTCTTGAATAGCTTGTTAATAAGTAGGTGGGCACTGTTGTTTTACTGTGAATAAAGCACTGCACTCTCTCTGAAGTGGTTAAAGCAGAAGAACATTGTTGCCCTTTAAGCTTAGAATTCAGAGGAGAAAGGACCTCTATAATTACTCAGTGACCTTTCCATACTGGAGGCTAGATAGCTTTCATCACATTGACTACTGTAATCAATGTACACAACTCACAGCACAAACTCAACTGGAAAAGGCTATAGACTCCCCAGTGGCTGTGACAGTCACACAAGACTGATTTCAGAGCTGCTCTTGAGAAAAAAAGATGTTTGCCTAATTGTATTGAATGTGCACTTGAAATATATATATATCAAATCTTGTTAAAAGTATATTTGAAAAAAAAAAAAAACTGTCCTAGCACGTAATACATAATAGCCCTATACATTAAATAAAAAGCCATTTAAGTGTACTTAAAGAGAGTTCACTTTCATGACACAAAGTGCACTTTGTAATAATGTCAAATTAAATGTTTTTTTTTGGACATGCTTTACAGTACACTTATTTTGAGTTGACTAATTAATATACTACAGCAAATGTAAAGCATTTGATTTCAATTTTAACTGTTATTTAATTTTGCAGTAAATCATCATCATTACAAATGTGTAATTACAAATATATTTAAATAAATGACACAAGTTTCAATAGAAATGATATTAAATTATATTTTAGTTTACCATAAATGCTTTGTCAGTACACCCGGCAGTATAAGTAATTATGACATTACACAGATGTACTTAAGTCCTACTTAAGTATGTAAAAAACATCTGAAGTTCAATTTAATTCGATATAAATGTAAACTAGTTTATTATAATAAATACTTATATTTATTAATAAATCATAATCAAGGTCTGAAAACATATTTAATTTGCACCTAAGTATATTCTTTTAAAAATATTTTTTTTCTGTGAGTATTCTTTTTTAAAAGTATGCTAAAGTCTACTACTTTGTCACAAGCGAGTAACTGTAGCATTCATGATAACTGCCTAATATGGCTAGATAATGAGATATTTACATGTTGAGTCAGCTTAGTCAGACAACTGAGGAGATAGGAAACCTTGTGCTTCAGTTCATGTGATTTACTAAAACAATTGACTCACTTCTGTAAAGACCACCAGTGATTCTCAACTGGTTTTGTTGCAGGATCCAGATTTTATATTTATTAAAAACTGAGCCAACACAGTACCAAAAATGGGAAAAAGTATTAGTGTATTTATTTATTTTAAGAAAAAAGGCCTGTCATGCATCCTAAAATTATTTGATCTTCACACAGAGAAGTCTGTCTTAGGGAACATGTTTGCCAATAGACATAACCCACACTGACACATACACATATATGCTCATACTGTATCTGTACTAAGTGAAACACACAATTCACTTCTTAAAGGGATAGTTAACTTTGAAATAAATTTTTGATATGTTTTAGCTTACCTCAAGGGCATCCAAGATGTAGGTGTCTTTGTTTCCAATTTTGATATTTTTAGGTCAAACCGTTCTTGTCTGTCAGTCATATAATGCAGGTCTATGGTCACCACCTCAAAGAGCATGCGCAGAGAAGTACAAATTAAACATGATTTAATGACTCGTAAATGTAAGTACTCATTGATGGCCTAAGACACGAAACGAGCGGTTTGTGTGAGAAAACGAACAGTATTTATATCGTTTTTACCTCTTGTAACGCACAGACCGAAGTGCCGGCGCCCTCAGATCACTTGGACGTGGCTGTGGTTACAAGAGGTAAAAACGATATAAATACTGTTCATTTTCTCACACAAACCGCTCGTTTCGTGTCTTAGGCCATCAGTGTGTACTTACATTTACGAGTCATTAAATCATGTTTAATTTGGACTTCTCTGTGCATGCTCTTTGAGGTGGTGACCATAGACCTGCATTATATGACTGACAGACAAGAACGGTTTGACCTAAAAATATCAAAATTGAAACTACAGCGGAAACAAAGACACCTACATATTGGATGCCCTTGAGGTAAGCTAAAACATATCAAAAATTAATTTCAAAGTGAACTATCCCTTTAACCACAAAGTACAACATTCAGAAGAAGAAATTAATGTTCCTATCAGAGAAATGTCTGAAAAGGGTATATGGCAGGCACTTTTTCCAAAGTGATGTGCTTCTAAATACTCCCTGGTTCCTCACTGCTCTGTCCTCCATGAGCCGGATATCGATCGAGCTCCATCATGAAGGATATATCAATTTACTAAACCCACTATAAGGCGAGGAAGCTTCCAGAGGAGACTGGAAAACTTGGAAACATAGGTGTATCCTTCCCTGGAGTCTTTTTTTATTTTTTTTATGTGTCCAATCATTCTTTACACTTCTGGATTACTGAACATAAAAGTTCTAATTTGAGTTTTTTGAATCAACCATAAATCACATATCAGCAGTACATCTTCCTTTATTCAAAATGTCTTGTTTAACCAGCTACATCAACATAACAGCACAGCAAAGTATTAAAGCATTACAATGTTTTATTACAGTAGGCCTATTTGAATTCAGTATTTTAATATTTTTTATTAATAACACAAATACATTGATATTATAAATACACATTGAATATATACATTATATATTCAAAAGCAGCTTTGGCTTTGCATATACTCCTTGGTTTTATAAAAAAAAAAACAATAAATAAAGGTTTGTGGTTATTAAATTTGCTTTAGTGAAAATTAAATGTTACAGTAAGCAACAGTAAATGATTAACAATAAAATACGCTCTTTCAGTTTACTAATAATGTTTAAACCAAACATTTGTCAGTCCACGGATGTTCAGTTATACCTTTACAAAAGTTTTTTTCAAAGTATTTTAGTGCAAAATCATTGTTGACGTGACACTTGAATATTCCACCAATTCCTCCATCCTCACATGTCATTCTTTCCACACCTCAGCTAAGTCGGAAAGAACGGATGTGGGGAAAGGTAAATGAGATTGCACAATCAAACAAATCAGAGGTATATATTTTTCTCCTGGGAATCGAACCTTGACCATGATGTTTCTTTCCCACTCCTCCATTTGAGCTTCTTTGTATCTTCATAGTGACCTACACACTATATGAGGTGTGAGGGCACAGCTCTCAGTGCCAGCGGAGTTATTCTATTGTCTTTGGGACTGTCACCACACTTGCTAATAACAGTAACATTTGTGAGCACAGAGGATTTGCTCTTCCATCCAGGATGCAAAAGTCTCCCAAAAACTTCTCGAGCTCTCTTTCGGAAGTGACTCCCTACGATAACGTACAAGAAAGGGTTTATTGAGCTATTGCTATACCCTATATAAGAAGCCAGCTGGTTGCCTATTTGCAATATGTCCTCCCAGAGGCACCCAGGAAGGAGCTTAAAGTAGTCAAGAGTGTTTAGGAACCGCACCAGCTGAAAGGGAGTCCAGCACAGGAAAAATACCACTAGGACCGTCAGAACCAGCTGAGCGGCCTTCCTCTCCGTCCGCACCCTCGGTTGAATCACCAGGCCACGATTTTTAAGTGCCTTGACTATGTGAAAGGTGCAAAGTGAAATGATCGGCAGGGGAACCAGGAATCCAATCAAGTTGGTCGTAAAGTTCCGTTGGAGCACCCAGGCCGGATGAGGGTACACTAGGTAGCAAGCTTTCACCCCTAAGAATGGAACGAAATTTACTCTTCGGAAAAGCAAGGCTGGGAGACTGAGGGTGAATCCAACCGCCCAAATCATCGCACAGATACGCTTGGCCCATTTGGGGCATCTCAGCCTACTAGGATTCATGGGTTTGGCCAAGGCGAGGTAGCGGTCAACACTGACCAGCACTAGGAAGAGCACGCTGCAGTAGTAGTTCATCGAGATGGCGGTGTTGACCACCTTGCAGAGCAGTTGACCAAAGTCCCACTGATAGTCTTGGGCGATGGTGACCGCCCAGAAGGGCAAACAGAGGACCATTACGAGGTCTGCAGCTGCCAGGTTGCCCAGATACACATCAGCTACGCTGCACGACTTCCGCTGGAGGCAGAACACGCAGAGGACCAGACTGTTGCCCACCACTCCCAGGATACTGATAAGAGCCAGAAAGGGAGGCTGGAGGGAAGACAGCCATATCCAGGCAACTGTGTCGTTGCAGAGGAGGTTCGATGAGTTTAGTTCCATTTGGACACTGTGAAAAATGTGTTGTTTTTGTTACTTTTAAGTTTGACTTTGAAACCATTTTCACTCATAAATTTGAATAGTTATTACAAAGAAATGGCAAGTAACATTAAACTAAACAAGACATTTTGAAGTAGACCGACTAAAATGGTATTACAATGGATGACAATAATCTACAGTGTAAATTGAAGTTGAGGATAATCACAAAAACCTGCTGGTTATTCCAGAATTGGTGAAGTTTAAAGTTTCCTTCCTGTTTGGCAAATAAAAAAAAGAACTAATCCAATTCTAGGAATGAAGGGGAGTCATTTATGGGAACCGATTCATCTAACTGTGAGCAAAACCTGGAAATTCCAAGTATCTTCAGTAGGCTATGTTACATTCTTACACATTTTCGGAATATTAGCATAATGAGTTAAAATAGTTGATCTCAAGTTTGTATTCTGACTTATAATGTTTCATATCCATATATCAGATAAATAAATGTAATTATTCAATAACAAAGTCTCTTTAAAGTTAGCATAACCTGTTACTGTGATTAGTGATGAAGTTTGTTTGAATATAACCATTATTATTAAAGTCCCATTGACTTGTAAGAATCTCACCTACCTTTCATGTTAAGTGACAGCTCCAGATTACAGATCCAGAGCCGCTATCCGTTCACTTTCGATGTGTTGTCTGGCTGAATCTCCTCCAACAAGACAGTGGTGAGATCAGACAGGCGCTCTTATAAACGCATAATGAGGCTGTCGTCACTGGAAGCCTGGATCTGTTCTCACTTTCCATTTGTCATGCTCTGGCTGTCTTTCGTGTGAGTAAAACACTTGCACACATAACTGTTATGAAGCTGATATGAAGATAAACATTGTGACTCAAGCGTGACGTAGCCTTTATAACAAATCTTCAGCTCATGACACAGCAACTGCAGATAAACCAGATATTATGGTGGAATTCCAGAACGATTTCACATGGGGTTAAATGTCTTCCAGATGCATTTCCATTTTTACTACATTTTATGGAATTTTTTCTCGTAAACCAAATAAACACAAATGTAAGTTGGCAACACATTAATCTTGTAAAACCCAACATGCAGGCCAAACAATATAAAGTGTTTCTCCTTGAACCGTGGAAATGGCTATTAGATTTTGAGTATTGAAAATAAAAAAACGGTTCCAGTCTCTAATCCTTTCCCCTCAATTCTAATGTTCACTATGAACTCAGAAGACAAAAAGATGACATTAAAGCTTAACTGTCAACAATGGTTGAGGCAAGGATCTTATAGAGGCTGGATCTAAACGCAGCGGTTAATTAATTTATACTCAAATCAAAATAAACTCAAACTAAGAATAACCATAGAAACATTTTAATGAATTTTGGTCATCAGCATTTGGAAATCAGCATTTTGGCGGACTGAAAATGCAAGTTTTTGAAATTGGTTTTCAAAGTGCAAGTTTTTGAAAACGATACCGTTCTCGTATCCGTGTAAACAACAAAAACGCAGATTTGTGAAAACGGTGACGTCATGCTCATGTGTATTACATGTTCAGTCTATAGGCGCATAGTGTTTCTTTTCAAAGTGGCATCGCCATCTACTGGCCTGGCATGAATAATGAACAGTGTTTATAGTCGTTTTTACAGATATGTGTGAAAGGGGGTCATTTTTACATCGTTTACGCCTGTGCACAAAAAAAAAAAAAAGCGAAGAAAAAACTTTTCCAGCATTAGCACATCATTGTCATGTAAACTTACCCTTAGAGTCCATGAGAAACTAAACTCAAAATCAAGTATAATGTTACATTAATATTATTTCATGCCATTCGAATATAAACAAAAGCAAAAATATATGAAATAAAGTACAAATCCAAAAATGACATTCCCTTCTGTTAACCCTTAAACGTATACCTCGTGTCTTTAGTGATCCCGAATGTCATTCACTCCTCCTCATTCATTTTTTTAAGGTTAGACATAAACCTTCTTAGTATTCCACAATTAATTCATTATATGATTTTTTTTAAAGAACCTGAAATGGCTCAGTGATTAACTCCAGAGCAAGTACTGAACACAATCAAATATTAGTTTCACTGTCACTTGATGGTGGATCTGGTGAAGAAACTGTCAGCAATCAAAATATTCATTTTGAAAATGTTGAAAATGATAGTTTTACAACATTTTTTGAGATTGCAAACATGAGCCAGATGCTGCATGTAATGGGAAATGAGCTCTGATGAGGACAGTGATGATGGTATAAAACATCTGTTCAAACTGAAACCTTCCAAGATCCAAAAGGTAACAAAATATACTTAATTTTATTCTTCTGTAATTGTAATAATTGTAATTGTTTCATCAGGATAGTTTTATATTGTCACGACAGGTAGAGATCCAGATATAGTTATAGATCTGGGTCCCTAAAGATCAGAATATGTAATAATTATTGGCGAAACATTCATGCATTTAAGGGTTAAATGTATATTTGAAGGTCCAATAGCTACTAATCTGTGAAGTATCATATAATTTACCAGAACTGCCATGGGGTAAAATCGACCGTTATTCAAATGTACATATCAGATTTTCAATAAAATATTCCAGTCATTGACCCCTGGCGGTTAAAGTGTTAATGATATTTTCATATAAAGTAATTATTTAGCAGTAAAAACTGTAAAATTGGTCTCAGAGTAGGGGAAAATAGATAATTGTATTTAATGAGTTTGTTTTCCCATAAAATCTTTAAGATATTAGGTTAAACTTATTTGGCTTGCTGTCCATTGGAGAGGGCCTTGATGAAGCAGCTTCAACTCGAGCTCTGATATACCCCCCTGCGGGAGTATCTTGGGACTGGAGGTTTGAGTACGAGGTTGAAGAACGCCATGCCACATCCATGACATGGAGCCCCATGGAGCTAGAGAACATAGGGCCTCCAGATGTCACAAATGGGGGAGGAGGTCCTCGTCCCTAAAGGCAAACGGGCCACCAGTATCTGAAGCGAAACTCCCTACGCAGCAAGAGGGAGCCTATGGTATAGATAGGAAATGCAGAACTACCGAGGGAACTACATAAATAGGGAACGGGAGAGCCTACGATGCCTCTGGACGGGGGAGCCCACACTGCGATTCAGATGGGAGACCCCACTCCAGGAGTGGTATGTCACACACATCTGAAAAGGGAGAGCTCTCACTGCATCCAGATGAATACACGCCCTGCGGGGCTAGGTAAGCGGGAAGATGCAAATAGTAGGAAGAAGCAGTCCGGACTCAGAAGGATGCTAGTGTTTGTTGTGCTTGTCTAATGTTATGCAGATCTGAACGAACGTATGTTTCGAAGGCGTGGGACGACCATCGACCTAGCATTTTGATTTGGTGATCGGAAAGGCCCCTTTGCGCTGCTGTGGTGGCTGCACCTATTTGGAAGGAATGTGAAGAGAAATGTTTGGTTGGGATGCCGGAACTGTTGAGGATGGATTTGAGGTTCTTTTGAAACCAATGTCTGGAGGTAGGGAGGTTTTTATCATCGATTGTTAGCTGAGGAGCGGCAGATGGGGCAAATGGAACGGGCGTGAGCTCCACCACAGAAATTACAGACATGGAGGAAGCGGCATCGTTGTCTTTTGCAGCCTGATGAATTACAGCTGTTGCACACTTGTCTGCCTGAAACAGAGGTAAAAATCTGGTTCATTCCTTGATTGAGGGACATGTGAAGTAGATTTTTCTTTGAAAAGAGCTGGATGGGTTGGAAGATCTGGGCTGGTTTGGGGACATTCTGAAGTAGAATGAATGATAGACCTGTAGATAGATTCATTGAGAGGGACGGAAGTCAGTAGAGAAGGACGATCAATATCTGCACCTGATAGAATTCGGGAACGGAGATGGGCTGAGACTGGAGGTGGTGCCATGGAGACTGCGTTGGGAGGAGCTGGAAGATGGACTGCTGTGGAGAGTGAATGGGCTAGCAAGTGAATTGTACCTGAAGAGCAAGTGTTAGTGTTGAGAAAAGTTGATGAATGTTGATCGGAGGGTCCCATTACTGACTGGTGTCCAAGATGGCTGGCATGGGCTGAAGTGAGAGGAAAGGGAGGGTTTGTGGGAAAAAAGGGTGTAGAAATCATTTGCGGAGACAACCTCATGCTTGGATGTGTACTGGGAAGAATATTAGGAGACAATTGGAGGATAGAAGGGGGGATGCCTGTGAAGGTGAGATGAGGTGAATTGGAATAGAAGGAAAGAGGAGGGAGAATGGGTAGTGAAGGCAACCTCGCGCTAGGATCCGCTCTTTGAGTAGGTTGGTTTGGCGGTGAGAGAAATGTAACTGTCTGCGAGGGTGACCTGGCACAAGGGTTATTATAACGAAGATTAGAGAGAACTGGAGAAGCAGAGGGAAGTCCGGTGGAATGTGTTTGTTTGGTTCTTGCCTGGGGAGTGGGGCTGACTGCATGAAGTTTGTGAAAGCTGGAGAAGAAGCGGAACTGTTTTTTTTTGCGGCCGCTGTTGTTGGCCGGGTGGAAATACCGGCGGACAAGGAAGTGCGAGCCCCGGCGGCGCCGGCGGCCTTTGGATCGGCGTATTTGGATTGTGTGGGTGCATAACGCGGGACCGGGAAAGAAACGGAGGTAGAAGAGGGGCGAGTCTTGCTTTTATAAGATGTTGAAGTGTTTGATGGAATGCTGGAACTGTTAGAACTGATGAAAAGATCGTAGAGTTGAGCTTTTGATGATCTGCGAGAGAAATGGATTCCGGAGCTGTAGAGGACTTGAGGTAGGCTGTTGACTGAACATTTTGAAATGGGTGGAATCGGTGTAATAGCAGCGGTAGAATGGAGAGATGAATTCTGAGAAGAAGATGGACGAGGCTCAGTTTAAACTGGCGATCTTGAAGGTGGAGGAGAGCATTGCCTTTTGGAACTTGGTCTGTATGAGCGCTGGATTTTTCGTCCAGAACGCTCATGAAGATTATCCGTATTTGGATCCGTAAGAATCGATCTTATGCAAGACTTTCGGTGTCTCAGGAAGGCTTGTCAGTTCGTCATCTGAAGGAAAGAGCTGGATTTCCGGGATGTTGGACATTATTCCGTGCGGCAATACCGCGTACTGGAACAGCTGATGCTAGGGAGAGGCAAGCGGCTGCTTATACTCAGGCTGTTGATTGAAAGATTAGATTGGCTCACTCCTCCCTAACTTACGTTTAGAACTTCATTTTTCTTAAAAAAAGGAATTACTGTGAACTGTACTGTATATCTTAAGTACACTACTGTCTAATTATTTATAATCTAATTATTATTAGGTTTTTAAACAAATATAACTTTTTAAATTTAGACAAATGGTCTGTACATAGTTTTTTAATTATTCTTATTCTTATTTATATTCTTATTATTCTCAACAACCATCATCATTATTATTTATTTTCATAATAATATTATTATTATTTATATTTTTGAGGGGATCAATGCGCAGCAAAATGGCAGGCTTACTTTATTCATAAAAGCAGGTCACGCAGACAGTCCGTGCCGTGATCAGCACTTCCCGCTCTCACCTGAGATGGATTGCTTAATTAAAGCTGGTGGCTGCAAGACTTTGTTGGGAGGCTCAGAGGAGGTCATGGGTGGGGGTGGGCAGGAAGCCATCTGTATCTGTTATCTGGATCCCCCATCAAGACAGTCGCCACTTTTTATATTTCCAAACAGTAGAAGGTCCTTGTGAAACTATGCTTTTCTGTCTGCATTCTTCCATACACTCGAACAGTGAATAAGCAGAGTTTATAAAGTGAAAT